ATGATGATGATGATGATGATGATGATGATGATGATGATGATGATGATGATGATTGATTCTTTTGATTTTTGTTTCCTTACTGGGCCTGGTGGACTTTCAATGTTCGAGCGAGAGCGAGAGCGAGGCTCCTTTTCGGCTCATTGTCATTATACTCAGAAGCACCTCCACTCGTCCAAATAACTCCATTCGAATTGCCATTGTTCCTGGACATTCAAACATATGTTTGACATCCTCCTTTTCATGGCTGCATCTTCGGCAACGTGGGTTGAGCTCTTCATTCACAATATTCTGATACCATCTCAATGATGATGATGATGATGATGATGAAGATGATGATGATAATGGTGATGATGATGGTGGTGGTGGTGGAGTAATTGAAACTATTCTAAAACGTGTTCATTTCTCTTGCTTTGATTGAAAGGTGGAAAGTGTTTGTCCGTGGCCTATACCCTGGTGCAGGGTGAGATAGGCAATGATGATGATGATGGTGATAATGTGTGATGTGAGAGCTAGATAACATGCTCATGGACAGTACGACAGATAGGTGTCTATATTTGAAGCTTACCGTATCAGACCGTCCACTTATAGTTCTCGACATGTACACTTGTATAACAGTAACAACACCATTGGTGACTGTAATCTCGCTCCCTCAGGAGTATAAGTGAAGCATGCTGACAAAATGAGTTACTTCTCGCAATCCACAAAAGGGTATATTGGCCAAAATCGACACCACAGTCAAATAATTTGCTGATTTTGTATTGATGCCATAATATACTCCTTAAGTATAAGATGTCTTTTATTATTTCATACTTATAAATTGTAAACGCTTCACGTATAAGCGTACTGTATTTATTTCCATAGGGCTTGAATCCGAGAAGTGACTCATTTTATCAGCACGGTTCACAATTAGTAAAGTTCTATCTGATACGTTTGGTCGTTTTGAGGTTACTAAAGACCGTGAGATCAAAAATGAAACGTTCTATCTGCTCTATGAAAATCGTAAGATTATTCGGAGTCGTTATCATCTCGATATTCAAAGAATTGCTTTCGAAACAGCTAGACTGGTTGTGAAACTCGAAATCTTTGACATCAAATTTCTCAAAACTAGGCACTGAGCAAATAGAAGGCCGTAATTCTTTGGTAGATTCTAGTGTTTGCTGAATGTATCTTTGTTGGGAATTACTTTATATAAAACATTTTCCTGTGTGTTTACTCTAGGACTAACAGCTAATTTCCAAATCCAAAATGCTGATTACTTCGTTGTTGCTACTAAACGCAAAATCGCCAGATGATCGAATTGGGCGGGGGTAACCAAAAAAAAAAAAAATTAAAAAAAACAAAAAAAAACTTGCAGTTACTTAGACCCAATGCACAATAGTAAGATTTTTTTTTGTCGATCGAACAACGGCTGAGAGTATGCTAGATTACTCCTTTGGTTTTTTTGTTTGTTGTTGTTTTTGGTTGGTTTGTTGTTTGTTTTGTGGGGGGGGGGTGT